GTGATGATGTTGTATTGAAGTATACCTTATATTAGGATTGATAGGGTTGGTATGATGTTGATATTAAATTTCTTGACTATGATTTTGTGAGGTGTTGGCTAAGATGTAAAATGTTATATGAATGGTGATAACTACCAATGGGCCTTATCATCAATGATTATGTAAATGTGCTAACCCTAATTATATGAATTGTAATGAAAGGAAAATACTCATGTCATTCTTATTGATCTATGATGATGATGATTATACAAGAGATAGACCCTATGACCTAAACTAAGCTATGATTGTTACTAAAGGCTTAAAGACATTTCAATATGGGACTGTAGCTTAGCACTGAGTGAACTAGATTGAGAAGTATCCCTTCCAACATAGGGAATGTAGGATCACTAATGTGCTCTTAATATTAGACACTATAATTCATGTAGCATAAAAAGGGTCCCAACTATATCTCCTAGTTCTTAAACTATGTTGGCCCCATAGGAATACTACCTAGTGGATCCACATAGTTGCTATTTTCATGTTTTAGTTTTTAGTACTACCTTGGCAAGTAGTCCTCCTTCCTTCTATAGGGTTCCATGACACCGAATTTCACATTAACTCATTTGGTCTATGTCAGTTAAGGCCAGATATTCCCAAAAGGTAAAATGAACTAAACGAATAAACTCTAACTAGGATAATCTAAGGGGTTTAACTTAGTCTTGGTAGGGTATGGGACTCTACTTAAACATTGCACTAGTTAGCCTTGAGAGAAGTCTTAGAAAGATGTTCTTATATATGAATACACTTATAATTGTACATGTTATTCATATGACAATCTTTCTAATTGATGATACTACAAGATGATTGATTTCACTTATGAACATATGTTGATCTCCATTGCTAAAGTATGAGGACGTGTACTTTCAAACGGTATTCTATGTGAAGTTGGATATTAGTCATGGTTCTTGTTAGGTTACTTGATTTAGTAAGGTTATAGGGCTTTGCTTAGACATTGCACTGGTTGACATAATGAGGGTTCATGGGTAATTGTCTTGCTTTGATTATGTTGTAACGAACTCTTGTCTGTGTTTATTGCTACTATAACTTGTTGATAGAGTTGTCTTGTAATTGATCAATTATGTGATATGTATATTGTCATGACTAGACTTAACATTGTTGGTCTTGTAATGTGCATGTTTTAGACTTAGTGAATATATCTTATTGATTGGTGTAGTCTTCTTGAATATGCATAAGGCTTTCTTAAGTACAAGTGGTGTATTGACTTCATTTTCTCCCTTTTCCCCAACATTTTAGGTTATGGTCGTTGAAGGGCTTTTGAGATGACTTTGAAGAAGACTTGGAATTTCTCAGTCATCAAAGTTGGGAAGGTCCTCACTTTCCAAGGAAAATGTCAATATCAAGCTTGTGAGGTTGTTTTAGTTTTAAGACTCTTATGTTGTTTCCTTTTCATTTGAGTATGAATCAGATAGACTATATGTTGCTTTATTACATTGATGTATGGTCTAGGCCCAAATTATTTTAGTCTTGTTTGATGGTTATGATATGATCCTTCCATTTCAGACTATTTTATTTCTTATATATCTATGTGCAATAAAAGTTGAAGACTATGTAATCTTCCTGTAAAAAAGGTCTATGTATACTCCATATAAATATTATGTGTATGTAGTGGTCTGTGTAAACCTCAATGTAGAAGTAATGAAAATTTTTAAGTTTTCCGTGTTTTGACCTATGAATGTAATGATGTAAGCTAAGAGGCTAGTCTTAGTACTCAAAAAGGACGACGACGCTAGTTACGTCTAGGGGGTGCTCCCCGAAGTGACCAAAACGAACTAAAAATCTAGAATCAAGATGGATAATGATCTGAATCAAGAGGCATCCCAATAGTGAAAAAGTAACAGCCGTAATAAGGGCAAGGTCCTAACAAGAGTGTCAAGTGATCAAACAATCCGTACAAGTGGGCAAGTTACAGAATAATCTTTAACGTCTTAAATGACAACAACACAAAGATGCAAAGTGACAAGAGGTAACCAATGTACCAAGAAAAACTTTCAGATATATCAGCAGGTAAAAATAATACAAGTACAAGTTTATACAGAAAAACCTGAGTTCTTTAGACAAGAAACAGTCCAATACCACTACAAGAGTTGAAACCGTAAACCAACCAACATATGAAGGTCCTCAACTTGTTCACGAGTATAGAGAACATTAAAAATACAATTAAATAACTTCTTTAATTCTTAGAAGCTCATAATGCTGATGTAAAATAGGATTATCATCACAAGTAAGTCTAGGTTTTCAAATACGACTAATCTCCCATTAACAGTAATTATGTCCAACAAAAGCACTTTATGTGCCTACTTAGATATAAAATAGGAAACAAGAAAATTGGATTTTATATCCTTCATAAAAGATGTAGGTACATATATTAAGCTTTCAAATAATCTAGAATCACCATAATATAAACTTTTGTACAAAATAATATAATCAAAACACTAACAGTTGAACACACATGATATCTAATTCCAAAAATGTGGTCAGAATTTGTCAGTTGTATTTCGATTCCATAACAGATAAATTAGATTTCCACATAAAAATAGGATTTGTAGGTATATCAATTAGATTTCGAAAACATATTTATTCCCTATAAACGAGGTTCTATAGAATGAGATATCTTTGAAATACCAAACACTACACTGCATGGAAATAGATTTTGTCACTTATCAAGAGGGAGTGTGTGTGTATCGAATTCAAGCAAAAAGGACCTACTTTTTCTCTTGATTTTGAAGAAAAATTGTTTAGATAATATTATAATGTTCTTATACTTGAGGGAGAACGAATTCCATCAAAGGAGGTGTAAAATATATATGCAAAATGATGCTCATCACATGTACACATGTCATCAAAAGGGGCTGCCCCTAAAAATAGTTGGCTACCCAAAAAGAATACATATATAACCATGTTTATATACCTTATACCCACACTCACAATGTATTTGGAAATATGATTAGAACATTACGCAAATACCCTATTAGAATATGTTAAATTACGAATATAATTTATGTATATCATTCTCAAGTCCTTATTTTTTTTCATTTCCTTTATTTAGTCTATATAAATTCATATTTATTTTCATGAAGATTCATATACAAAGTTATAATTTCTCTTCTTCATCATACTTGTTTGTGAATTAACAAACACGTAATAAAAAAAGTATATGAAGGTAAGATATATTTCATTCTAAAGTCTTTATTTTTATTTATATGTACTTAGACATGCTTTCTTAATATATATTTATTATGTTTGTATTATAATTTATCAAGTAAGTATGATTAAAAAAATCTCTGTAATTATTAACAATGTGTTGTGTGTATGCAATTGCTCTTTCTGATAGTTGATTTTCCAAATATAATATAGTTTGGTTACAATATTTGTTAGATTTCAAGAAATAATTATTTTTTAGTATTGTTAGTACTATTGGAAAGATAATATACAAATATATTAAATAAAATTTATATTTCGTTCTTTCTTTTGACATAATTATTTTTAATTGGTATATGATATTTTTTATTAAGTTGGTTGCATATAATGAAAAGTATAGCGGATCTCTTTGCAAAGGAAGATAGTAGAAGGGGGAAAAAATAAAGCATAACTAGAGATTATTTTTTCACTTTGAATTGTATTAGCAACTTAGTTACTTTTGCTAGAGTTTTTTAAAATTTGATTTACATAAATAATTTAGCTAAATGTATTATATTGTAAATGTTAATCATTTGATCCTTTAGTATTCTACTTTCTCTTTGTTATGAAAAAAAGTTAATATAATTATTTCATTTTGACAACAACAAAATTTATGATAGATTAGTTTCATTTTTTATAATTATAAAAAGTAATTGAAAAATAAAATATTATTTTTCATGGTGTCATTTTTAGTGTATGTAACAATCTGTCACCATTCTTTTTGCATTGAAATGTATTTATAATTTTTATGTAGTCACCAATGAGTATATTTTCTCTGTTCACTTTTTGTATTTTCACCCCTTATTTTTATTCATTTATTTTACAAAAAAAATCAATACATAATTAGTAATACATTTAATGTCTAATAAAATTATACATTTGAATTATTTATTACTCATGTCTCTTTATCTTACTTGTAACATTTGATATTAAATATTATTCATAACTTTTATATGTTTCATTTTTCGTAAGTCTTATAAATATTTAATTAATATTTAAAAAAATTATAATAATAAAATTTAAAAAAAATCAATTTTATTTTGACGAAATCAGAGTTTGAATAGAATATTACTACTCCTAAGAAAAATAGATAAAATTAAAACATATAAAATGTTTTCAACCTAATACAATATATTGTTATTTCAACATTTTATCTCTTATTCCATTTACTTCACCACGGTGAATATTTTATTCTAATATATACATATACAAAATAAATAAATATATTTTATATGTTTAAAAAAGTCTATGATATCACAGTCAAGGCGAAATATCAATATTATCAATATATTTGATACTAACTTAAATATTACATATTTCATATTATTATCTTGTAAATATTTTATATAATTGCGTGAAGCGTGAATTGTTTCACTAATATACATATAAAGAACAAGGGTGATCTAGATCTATACAAAATAAGACATACAATTATCCACTATTGAAAATCCATACAACATATATTTCGATAAATGATATATAATAGGCAAATCAGAGAAGAAGGAACACCGCGACATATGAACTCCAAATTTAGTGAATGCATTAGTATAATATCCAAATACCAAATCAATCGCCAAAATTGAAAGAAAAGTTAAACCAATCAAATAAAAAATTGGCCTAAAATCAAAACAAAAATAAAATAAATAATCTAAAAAATTGATGTCCTTTATATTCTCCATTTGGACTCTTGCTGGGAAAACACAATATTAGAGGGAGAAAACTTCAACATGGAATCTCTTTAATAAGTAGAAATTGTAAGGAAATAAAAGAACACACGTGTATTAACACTACACTTCAATTGCTACCACGAGCTCTCTTTTCTGAGGAAACCTATTTTTCTTTATATTCTGTGGGATGTCGTTGCACTTCCACTTTCAATTATTCTTCTTTGTTCACCATGTACTTAATCATCAACTCTTTAATTTACAAAGAGCTATTGCATTTTGTTTGTTCCAAATCGGTTTGCACTTTTGTATCGCACCACCAAGATTCAGGTTCATTGTGGTGAAAATTTACTGGATTTTTTTCTTGTTTTTGCTTTATTACAATCTGGTATATTTGTTCACTACATTTTAGTAATTGTACTCGGTTTGCACATGTGTCCTGTCTCTTAGATGAATTTTATCTTTATTTTCAACTAATTATTTTATGGAGATTCCTGAGTTGTCAAAGATCAATGGATTGTGCACCCAAGGTGCTTGATGTTATTCATGAGCCATCATTTTTTTATTATTTTGTTGATTTTGTCCTTTCCGTGTTGCAGCAACGAAATTTTTGGGAGCAAATGATCAAAGACTCTTCTTCACTTGGTGACCAATGATCATATTAGCTATTATCATCTTCCACACAGTAAAGATGCAAGGTATGAGATCTTGAGTATTGTTCACTACTACTGCAAAAAAAAATTATTTTAGTGTTTGGTATGTTATTTTACTTTTTCTTCAAATTTATTTGAAACATTGTAGACTGCAAAAATAGTCTATTGTGCAATGATTTTCAGCGTCTTAAAAAAAAAGTTGAAAAACTGACTTACTTTGTCCTCTAAAATTATTAGTCTTTTTTCTTAATTCATTTAGACTTAGAAGAAAATACACTAGGGAGACTAATTAATGTTAAAAATATTAGTGAAGTTATGAATTATACATACAACTTTTCTTAGCCTTTTTGTTTTGTCACTCTTTCATAGTATGCATTTATCTTCTTTCCAACTTTTCTTTGAAATTAGAATTTTTATAGTATAAAATAATCTGTTTTTTATTTTTGGAAGTAGTCTATAAGAATCTCCTGTACCGTTGAACTTTGTTTAAGGTTCCTATAGCCGAATTTCTTCGTGAAAGAAATTGTTACCTATTGAATATCCAGCGAGGTGCAAATATAGCATGTGCCTAAGAGGGCATCAATCAAATCCTCACTAAAAATATTATCGTTATCGCTTGCCATCAATGTCTGACAATTATCACATTTAATTTCGATATAAAAATGGCAATGCTCTTAAACATAAGTGAAGTTAATAATTTGTTATAGTTGACGAAATCTGATGAGAAAACATTCTTCCATATTCAATATTTGGTATTTCAGATTTGGATGATAAATGCTCGCTAAGATTAAGTACTCGTGGTGAGTTTGAATTTTCTTCTCTGTTTTATGATCAATTCAGATAGAAGAGTTAATACCGTTGATTCCTGTGACTTTAGATAGTTCATGCATTATTATTTTATAAAGTTTAATTAGTTTTTAACACCAAATATCATTCTATCAAATAATGAAGGTCAAAATGTGGTTAATGCATCTTTTATATTCTATCTCAATCTGTTTTTTTAATTGTAGTTTCATAAGCATGACATTCTAAAAATGCATACTAATTCAGCGGTAGGTATAGTGACTTAGTTGAAAAGGTTATTTTTCAAAACACTACACAGCTGGTTAACCTTGGATGAAAAACTCTTTCATTACATGTATGTGTGTACGGCATACGTATTTATATATGTGTACACTTATCTCAATTTAACAAATTGGAGATCTTGTGGTTATTTAATGTACTCTTGCATCTAACATTCACAACTATGTTCCTTATTCCTTTCTTCATTAACTTTTATCAGTGGTCCACCCTTTTTGTACTCAGAGGAGAAGATTATAGACTCACATACATTAAGAAGATTTTTATTGAGGAGTGGAGGAATGTCTTAGGAAAGAAATATGTTCTTGAATCATATGAAAATATCACAAGAGAGATCTCCAAACCTAGAACCAAAATAAAATGAGAGTAAATTATTGCTTCTTAGATGGACTGTAAGAGGGGTAAATTACCACTGATACTTTAGCTAAAGAAAAAACTTCGAATTGGCAATCTGAAAAATGAAATGACAATTTCGAAAATAATATAGTAGTGGTATAGATGCACAAAATAGTTCTATCTTCTCTATTTCATGATTGTGCAAGAACACCGTGAAAGTTCGATCCATGTTGTGTCATTGTGGTTTCTGTTTGATCACTCGAGGTGAAGTCAATGCAGCAAGTTCTCTCGCTCCAAAATCAGTGAAGGCCTTGCAAGGAAATCTACAAAGGACTTGAAGGGTCTCCGAGTCACCATCCAAAAGTCATCTATTTTTGGTATTATAAAAATTGATTTGTTTACATGCGGTGGTTAAATTTTTAATTTCTATGAAAATAATACCTTCGATTCTATATTTCTTAGAGGTTCGTGATTTAGACATCTTTATCTATAAGGATTTGAGTCTTTCTTTTCTTATTTTTAAATAATGTTTTACATTTATACTTTTTCGATATGTATTGATGAATGAAACATGTATTTTTTGGTCTCTAAGTATTTACTTATTGAAGATGCTTCACATGAAATCTGTGAAGCAAATATATAATGGATCTTCACTTGTATTAAAAGTTAATGTGATCTTGTGTAACTTTTGATAAAAAAAAATTTGTTCATGTCCAAATGAGTATAATATATCAATTTCCAAATTATATCTAACTTCCCACATTATATTTAACTTAATGTATGGTGTCTCAGTTATAGATTTACTAATGAGCTTACTGTGAAATATGTGATTTGATGATACCGCAGATATATAGATGCGAGAAACAAATGGCTAGGTGTTATGGGATGGAGCTTCGTTGATTCAAGCTAAACTAATAGAAAGAAGAAGGAAAAGGGGATCTTACAGGAACGACCATGATATCACAAATTTAGTAAGTTCCTTTACTACTACTCTTACTTCAAAAGGAGGGAGTCATATATTTTTATTTGCTAAAGATTGAGCTACTATTATATTTTTGCAATAACATTATTTCCCCCTTTTTGTTCTATTGAATTTTATATTTGTCCTTTATCAGAAAGGTCAGTTGTTTTGTTAACAGAACTAATGATTAAGTTTTGTTACTTAATAGAAATGTAAATAAATCAGTGATATGCTTTCTATCTTTTTACGTGAATCTTCATTGTGTTTCATTTATGCTCTGGTAAAAGTATATGTTAGTTTTTAGATATTCTTGTCGTAAAATCTTTTCCTACTTTAAATGTGGGAGATTTAAAACTAATTTAGCTTAAACTTTCAAAGTGTGTTCTTTGATCGCAATGTTACATCTTCCATGTATTGTGGACGTTCCTCTTTGTAGTGAAATTCTAAGCTCTACTGTAGTTAGGATGCCTCATTTCGACAAATGTATAATCTTAATTCTGTGAAATCGCTGAAAAACAAACAAAATATTTATTTTTTCTGTACCTGCTTTCATATGAGAAAACAAAGATGAAAGATTAAGATATAGCAGGTTGAATAACACAGTTTCTAATGAGATAATTTTATTGAGTCCTCACATATTTTCTGTGGAAGTTTTTATTTTATAGTTATGTTTATGTCCTTAGTGGATAATTTTATGTTTCTACTTTCTGATTTCATTGTAAAGTTGTGCACCAATTAACTTTTTCTCTTTTCAGAAGACAGTCTTATTTTTGGTATTCTATGCGAGTGATGATTCACCAAACTCGAAGGTACTCACTGCTTCTCAAGCTTATTTTAGTGTTGTTACCTTGAAACTTAATTGCTCTTTCCTCTTCATAATAGCGTGCATGTATATTGTTGTACCATATACATGTTTTTAGATGATTATTTCTTAGTTATTAGACAAAGCAACATTTTGTACAAGAATTATTTCTAAAAAGGTCTGGCTTATAGGTTTCAAGTGATAATTTACTGATATATTTTTGTACATTTTGGTACTTCTAGGGAAGAAGTTTGGATGTCAGTTCTTTTGTTTGAACAACATCTAAGTTGTTAGGTTATTAGCATTTTAATATTAATATTTAACATATTAAATTTCTTTATTTTGGAGTTATAAGAATGAACATTGGTAGGCATTTGTGTTTTAAACTACCAATTTAATCATGCTATTCATCTTTGACTTGCTAGCCATGTATTGTCATTACTTTTGGCTTTATTGGTTGAATTCATTGTAGAGATAAAAACATTCCAATAAACATTGGAATTGATAACTTCTACATCATCCATTAGCATTGGTTATCCATCACTTTATTTCATTCTTAATTCCTCCATTACTCTTTGTAACCTATGTAACTCCCATTGTAACCTATGAAACTCCTAAGGCCATTATCTTCACTATTTACTACCTCCATTATCTTTCTATTTATTGCTAGGAAGACTTCTTGTAGTATAAATAGTGGTAGTCTTCATTTGGTTTTAGATACACACAAAGCACAAGAGAAAACAAAGAGTGAAAGAGTTAGTCTAAAAGAGAGTTCTTATTAGTTGAAGGGAAGTGTTCTTTTTTGTGGAGCTTTGGACTCAACTCTTGTCCAGAGTTATTGAGTTATACTTTGTGAAGGTTGTTGTATCCTGGAGGGGACAAGTCAAAGAAGACTACTGCTAGACCGGTGAACACATTTGTTGCAGTGGGCTTGAATCTCCTTAAAGAGAGCGAGATATCCGTGCCTCAGCCTGAAGAGATTAAGTTCTTCATTTTATTTTCAATTGTAATTTTGCAATTTTATTATCTTGTATGTTTTTTCACTAACAATTTTAAGGAGATTCAAAGATGGCTACAATTGAAAAAACCGCGGATGTCAAGATGGGCCATTTCGATTCAATGGTAATCATTTCAAGAGATGGAAGAGTAAAGTACTTTTCTACTTAAGTCTTCTCAATGTTTCTTATGTATTAACCGAGAAGAATCCAAATAAAGAAGACATCACCACTATGAATGATGATGAAACTATTTCTCATCTAGAGAAAGTGAAAAAGTATGATGGTGATTCCTATAAGTGTCAGTATTATCTTCTTAATTGTCTATCTGATAATTTTTATGATTATTATGATAGAACTTACTCTAGTGCAAAGAAAATTTTGAAGGCATTGCAAAGTAAGTATGATTTCGAAGAGGCTGGAGCGAAAAAATATTCAGCTAGTAGATTTTTTCGTTTCCAAATGGTGGACAACAAATCAGTGGTAGATCAAGCTCAGGACTTCATCATGATTGTTGAAGAGCTTAGGTCCGAAGAGGTTAAAATTGGAGATAACTTTATTGTTTGTGGCATAGTGGATAAACTTCCACCTTCTTGGAAGGAATTTCAAAAAACTATGCACCACAAACAAAAAGAAACCTCTCTTGAAACCTTGATAATGAAAATTCGCATGGAAGAAGAAGCAAGGGGCCGAGATGCACTTTTACAAATAGAAGAGAACAACATTACATCGAAGATAAATTTAATTACTTCGAATAATGCTACTCCTGAAACTCACAAAATTACTTCTTTGAAGCCTTAGAAAAAAAAAATTCAAGAAAAATAATGATAGACCTCCCAAGAAAAATAATGGTGAAAATCACCAAGCACAAAATCAACAAGTTCAAGAAAAGGGACATGCTTTGTTTGTGGCAAGAGTGGGCAGATTGCTCGATTTTGCAGTTTTTGGAAACGTGGTCCTAACCTTCACGCAAACGTTACCGAAGAAACTTTTGTGGCGGTGATTATCGACATAAACATGATTGAGAATGTTGATGGATGGTGGGCTGATTCTGGTGCAAACCGGCATGTCTGTTATGACAAAGACTGGTTTAAAAAATATACTCATTTTGAGGAGCCCAAAACCATCATGCTTGGTGATGCTCACACTACTCAAGTGCTTGGAAAGGGAGATGTTGAATTGTGTTTTACTTCTGGAAGGATATTAACATTGAAAGATGTATTTTATACTCCTTCTATGAGAAAAAATTTGATGTCTAGTTTTCTTCTTAAAAAAGCAGGCTTTAAACAGATTATTGAATCTGATCAAAAAGTAATATTGAATAAAGGTATTTTTGTGGGGAAGGGGTATGCATGTGATGGGATGTTTAAGTTGAATGTTGAATTGAATAAAACTTCTATTTCTGTTTATATGTTTTCTTCTACTAATTTTTGGTATGCTCGTTTGTGTCATATTAATGATCATATGTTGGAATCATGAGTAGTTTAGGATTAATCCCAATGGTTAAAATAATTTTGAAAAGTGTGAGGCTTGTAGTAAAGACAAGATCACTAAAAGTCCTCATTTTCAAGTTGAAAGAAAACGGAATTGTTAGAATTAGTTCATTCTGATATTTGTGAACTGGGTGGAATTCTAACTCGTGGAGGTAATAGATATTTTATCATTTTCATTGATGATTTTTCTAAGTTTATATATGTTTACTTGATGAAAAATAAAAGTGATGCTTTTGAAAATTTCAAAAATTATCTCAATGAGGTTGAAAATCAGTTTGGAAGAAAAATAAAAAGAACTAGAAGTGACAGAGGCCGTGAATATGAATCATATGAGTTTAATTCTTTTGTTAGATAATTGGGAATAATTCATGAAACTACTCATCCTTATTCTCCTTCGTCTAATGGAGTAGCAGAAAGGAAAAATAGAACTTTGATTGAATTGACTAATGACATGCTTATTGAGTCATATGCACCATTAAATTTTTGGGGTGAAACTATCTTAACTGCTTGTTATGTGTTAAATCGTGTGCCTCATAAAAAGTCTAAATTGACATCTTTTGAATTGTGGAAAGGTTACAAGCCAAGTTTGGAATATCTAAGAGTTTGGGGTTGTCTAGCCTTTTTGAGGCTAATGGATCCCAAGATTACAAAGTTGGGTAAGAAAGTTACTACTTGTGCTTTTCTTTATTATGCTTCAAATAGTACAACATATAGATTTTTTAATGTTGAAGATAATATTGTAATAGAATCTGGTGATGCTATTTTTTATGAAAATAAATCCTTTTGATACTAAAAATAGTGGGGGTCAAAGGATTAAACAAAATATTTTGTCACTACCTAGTTCTTCTACTTCAACTTTGAAAAAGAAAGAAGTTGTTGATTTTGAAATAAAAAGAAGTAAAAGAGTTAGAGTAGAAAAAGATTTTGGTCCTGATATTTATGTGTTTAATGTTGAAAATGACCCTCTAACTTTGAAAGAAGCATTATCTTCACATGATTCTATTTTTTGGAAAGAGGTTGTAAATGATGAAATGGAATCTCTAATTTCTAATAAAATTTGGAAGTTAGTTGATTTACTACCGGGTTGTAAAATAATTGGTTGCAAATGGATCTTAAGGAAAAAGTTGAAACCGGATGGTTCTATTGATAAATACAAGGCTAGGCTAGTTGCAAAAGGTTTTAAACAACTAGAAGGCCTAGAATTTTTTGATACTTTTTCTCCGGTAACAAGAATTACATCCATTAGACGGGTAAATGCACAAGTACCCCCTCAATCTATGCTTAAAATCCCAAAGACACACTTATATTATACTAAGGTCCTATTACCCCCCTAAACTTATTTTATAAGTAATTTTCTACCCATTTTTAGCCTACGTGGCACTAGTTTTTTTAAAAAAAGTCAATCATCGTTAGGCCCACAAGATAGTGTCACGTAGGCTAAAAAGGGGTAAAAAATTATTAATAAAATAAGTTCAGAGGGGTAATAGGACCTTATTATAGTATAAGTGTGTCTCTGAGATTTCGGGTTGAGGGGGTACTTGGGCATTATCCCTCCATTAGACTTTTAGTTGCTATGGCTGCAAATTTTTATTTGCAAATTCATCAAATTGATGTAAAAACTGCTTTTCTAAATGGAGACCTAAATGAAGAAATTTATATGGACCAACTCGAGTGTTTTGTTGAAGCAGGCCAAGAAAGCAAAGTATGTAAACTTATTAAATCTCTATATGGCTTGAAACAGGCATTAAACCAATGGCATGAAAAGTTTGATTCCTGCATGATTGAAAATGGTTTTAAAAAAATATGAGTGTGATAAGTGCATATATCATAAGTCTTGGAATAATTCACATATGATCATTTGCCTATATGTTGATGATTTGTTGATCTTTGGCTCTAACATGAATGTTATTGATGAAGCTAAAAATGTTCTTAGAAGCCATTTTGATATAAAAGATCTTGGTGAGGCAAATTTTACTCTTGGAATAAAAATAACAAGAACATGTGAGGGAATTTTCCTTGACCAGTCACATTATGTTGAGAAAATTTTGAAAAAATATAACTTTCATGATTGCAAGCATGTTGCTACTCCTTTTGATTCAAGTGTTCACTTATTTCCTCTTGAAAGTGAAAATGATGTGATAAATCAAAAGAAATATGCTAGTATAATCGAAAGTTTGAGATATTTGACTGATTGCACTAGGTCTGATATTGCATATGCAGTAGGAGTACTTGAAAGATTTACAAGCAAGTCATTGTATGAACATTGGCATGTTATAACAAGAGTTATGAGATATTTAATTGGAACGAAAAATTGTGGTTTGTTCTATAAAAAATATCCTGTTGTACTTGAAGGCTTTTGTGATGCAGATTGGAACACTTTGTCAGGTGATTCATGTTCTACCACTGGTTATGTCTTTACTTTAGGTGGTGGTGCTATTTGTTGCAGTTCAAAAAATCAAACTATAATTGCTAACTCTACCATGGAGGCTGAACTAATTGCTTTAGCTTCAGCTAGTGAGGAAGCGAATTGGTTTAAGAGATTTATTGTTTCAAATTCCTTATTTTGAAAAATCAATTCCTTCTATTTTAATTCATTGCGATAGCACCGCTGCAATTGGTAGAGTTCAAAACCGTTATTACAACGGTAAATCCAAACATATAAGGAGGAAACACAGTAATGTAAGATCGTATTTGACAAATGGTACCATTAATGTTTATTACGTCAAATCTTGTGATAATCTTGCAGATCCTCTTACGAAGGCCTTAACAAGAGAAAATGTTTGAAGCACATCGAGGGGGGTGGGATTGAAGCCTACAAATCCTTGAGTTATATATGAGGAAACCCAACCTGGGGACTAGAGATCATATAACTAGGTTCAAAGGGAAAAACTAATCATATGATGACTTGTTGTGAAAAATGCACTATATTTTCCCTCCCTATGATGTGAGTGCATTACTTCCTGTAGTTTGTGAAGGTTGAGTTGATAAAACTCTTGATGAATATTTGTAGCCCGTATGGGTGGAGTGTTAATCTTACAAGAGCACTCTCAACAGATTTCACTTATGTGATGTGTGGAAGTAGGTCGCTTCCTATGAGAATGGGGTTTATTCTCAAATGCACTCATGAAACCGGGATAGCACATGGCCATAATGTGCCGACAGTTAAAGCTTATGTCAACACCTTGATTATTATGTGTGAGAAGTGATATTTTATTTCCCTTAAGCAGTCATAGTTCAAGTATGAGACCACTAAGACTCTGATGTAAAAGTTACTGTTTCACTAAGTGGAGGTACAATGCAGAGCACACCTTCATTATGCATAGTAGTCTTCCTTCAACTGATATACTCTCTTATCTAAATATTAAAATGAGTGGGCTATTGTTAGGTTATTAGAATTTTAATATTACTATTTAACATATTAAATTGCTTTATTTTGGAGTTATAAGAATAAACATTGCTAGGCATTTGTGTTTTAAACTACAAATTTAATCATGCTATTCATCTTTGACTTGGTAGCCATGTAATGTCATTACTTTTGGCTTTATTGGTTGAATTTATTGTAGAGATAAAAACATTCCAATAAACATTGGAATTGATAACTTCTACATCATCCATTAGCATTGGTTATCCATCACTTTATTTCATTCTTAATTCCTCCATTACTCTTTTTAACCTATGTAACTCCCATTGTAACCTATATAACCTATGAAACTCCTAAGGCCATTATTTTCACTATTTACTACCTCCATTATCTTCCTATTCATTGCTAGGAAGTCTTCTTGTAGTATAAATAGTGGTAGTCTTCATTTGGTTTTAGATACACACAAAGCACAAGAGAAAACAAAGAGTGAAAGAGTTAGTCTAAAAGAGAGTTCTTATTAGTTGAAGGGATGTGTTCTTTTTTGTTGAGCTTTGGATTCAACTCTTGTCCAGAGTTGTTGAGTTATACTTTGTGAAGGTTGTTGTATCCTGGAGGGGACAAGTCAAAGAGGACTACTGCTGGACCGGTGAAAACATTTGTTGCAGTGGGCTTGAATCTCCTTAAAGAGAGAGATATCCGCGCCTCAGCCTGAAGAGATTAATTTTTTCATTTTATTTCAATTGTAATTTTGTAATTTTATTATCTTGTAAGTTTTTTCACTAACATAAGTGCTTATCAATTTCATTTTTTTGTTATGAGATTTTGAATATTCAGTCTATTTCGCAAAACATATATCAATCTCAATACAATTATAAGTTAATATTTTGGAGCATTGATAATAACCTTTAAGTTCTTAAAATCCTTTTTCTTTTATCATTCTATGTAGCAATCAATTTTTTATATCCATTCATATGGGTTATTGCCTAATATGGGGCTATTGGTGCGACTTATTTGTTATTCAATTCATCCCAAGATAATGTGATTACTTTGATGAAATGTTTTAGTTAAGTTACTTCGTCTCTGATTCATTCTCTTTTTATTGGTGTTTTTACATTAATCGACTACTCAGGCAAAAGTGAGATAAATTTGCATAGAGTTGAGTAATGTCAAGTTCTCCAAGGACTTACTTTATTAGGGAATGCAAGTTCATAAAGGAATTGAAGAGGATGAGGAAGATGACAATGGCAGCAGATTTTGGAGAGCTCCTTCTGTTAATAGTTTTCAAGGAGATGAGATGTATTATGATTTTCTTGGCCTGACTAAAGTATTGGGAAATAATCGATTATGTATTTGACTCTGTATCTATATGATTATATGCAATGTAGAGCTTATAAATTTTATGTAAGTGTTAAAAACATGAAATACCTTCCAAACATGCTTCGTAAAAGCATTGATTTGCTCTCGATAAATAATACGCAAAAATTATTCATTTATATTTATTGCAAAGAAACAATTTAATCAAGTCGTGTATGATATGTATTAACGAAAGAGATAATCAAGTATCGAAATTAAATTTATTCACTCAAGCATCTCCAAAATCATTGTTATGGTAGACTACAAAAAATATTGACTCTAATTTGGCCCCAAACGAAATAATGAAAAAGTAAGAAAAGGAGAATGCTCAAAGTTGTTAGAAACATTGTGTTCATTCAAATTCTAGTAATGATCGAGTCAACATCTGAACTATCATTCAAATTCTAGTAATGAGTCAACTTCTGGACTATCCAATGTACTATGGAGAGCATCAACTTTCCAATAATTTCTACATATCTACTCTTCTATGCTCATACATTACCATTTGTTATTTCCTGCAAATTATTGAAAGTGCACACACCAAAAATAATCAGCACAAGTTTTTGTCAAGTCTATCAACTTCTTATTTGCAGAAACTGCATATTTATATCAAGATGATAAAAGTAGAAGTTAATTAAGTAGTTCTTTTAAAAGCCAACTTCTATATTTACCGACTTGACTTGCTATGCGTGTTCTTATCTACGCTACAAACATGAATGATTTTTCCTTTTTCATGGTTTTGCTCCTCCTTGTTCTGTTTCTGGAATTTGATTGTTTTTCTTGGTCACTTGCCTCACCAAACAATATTATTATAGGTGAGCAAGGATCCAGCAGTACTAATTAATAAGTATACCAAACGTATTTGAATCACAAAGGATTCAAATCCTTGAGGATGTGAAACTCTAAGGAGTGTGATAGTATATATAAATACAAAGTCCAGGCGAACTACAAAAGATTTGGTGAGTTTTTATCTCCCAAGACGATAGTAGTTAGAGTACACTCCTGGAAAAAATGGCTTGATATATTAAGATGTCTACAATTAAAAAGAGGGTGTATATAAAATCTCTCCATCCATATATTCCACATATTACATAATAAAAATAAAAATAATCACCAGAAAAAGTAAAACTTACTTGATTAAAGTGGCAGTGGATACATTCTTAATACCTTGTCTATTTCTTTCTGTAATTACTATGAAAGGATGTTAAATCCTTCCATTAACATCCAAAAAATATTTTCATTTTATTACTCGAACAGAATTATTAAAGAAGGTCTAGTGTCAATAAAACTTTTCTTTGTTAAACAGTCCTCAACAAAATTTTAAGAGAGGATAAACTTGTTAAAATTCTTAAGTACTTGAATTAATAGACTTTTCAAAGAATAGAAAATTGACAATTCATCTAAGATTCTTATTACAATTATTTCTTTGGATGGAGATTTCGTGTGTTCGGTGATACAATGCTTTGTGCTCGGTGCTCCTAGTAAGAAAACTTTTCATAGAAGCATTGAATTGATAAAAACAAATCCTTTATGCAGAATTCAAAAGCTGCATCTTTTATTTTCTTCAAATGATCATACAATTTTGCTCTTTCTTGTAGTGTTATCAAACTTGTAATAGGGGATGTTTGGGATATGTGCTATTAATCATGTGTTAAGAAATAATATTTATTAGAGAATAAATATTTGCTAAAATTCAATAGATCATATATTCGTTTATGGTGTCTATTTACTTATATAGTAGATGATTTAGTGTGTAGAGTTTTAGCTTATAAACAGAGAATTAAATAATTGGTTCTTATAAGTATAAATTTTTGGTTCGCAATCTAGGATGGAAATTGGACATGTAATCGGGTATGAATGTAGCACAAGATTATATGTAATTTGTCCTGATTATGAAAACGGTATATTTTCAACTTCTTGTGCTAGTACATTTTGTATGTATTGAACGGGACTGAGTAGAGATAATTATTTTAGACTGACTGACAAAAACATATTCTCTAAACTATTAAATGTACTATATTCTTAATCTTGATATAACTATTATGATCTGTATATATTAATTATCGTTTTGATTTATTAAAAAGTGAGATTCTGATATGGGTCAATATGCCTGGTAAGTTGGATGATAATAATACATATTGGGGAAATAATATGTTAGTTGATTGAATTCATGTCTCGTTATAGAGATTGATTGATATGCCTTTTTGAGAAACTTATAAGTTTTCATCGTGTCAAATCTTGCAAGTGAATTTATGATTCCGACACATGAAATAAGTTAAGTAGTGCTTTAAAGGAAATTAATCATTAAGTTAAATTCGTCAGTAATTTAATTTATTGATTAGTATCTGAAATCTTAACTTGGGGAATTACATAAGTGTTTAATAGGGAATTACGAGATAGAGGAGTGCAATTACGAATTTCTAGTGAAATGATTTGTAATTTATTATGGTAAGAATAATTCAAATTAATTATTTGGAATTATTTCTATAATAGTAAGCCTCAGTAATTAATTTTGTGGTCCCTATAGTGCCCTGTTTAACTAGAACTCGGGATCTTATTTCTATACAAAAAGGAAGAATAATATGGTTTTTTCTTATCTTTTCTTCTAGAAAAACAAGGTTTTGTAGTCCTTTTTGGATTAGGAAGAAATCTCTATAAATAGGGATTCTCCTAACCTAGAAAAAAGATGATTAGTATTTTATTCAATGCTTGCCCACCTAAGTATTGAGAGAGTTCAGATGTGACTTAGGATCACTGTAGAAGATCATAGCTATATTGTAGATTCGCTTGAAGATCCTTTTAACTTGGAGATTCGCTTGAAGGTATCCGCTCACGCTTCAAGAGGTATTTATCGAATAAACTTTCAGTATATTTATGTGTTGCAGCATGATATTTCTTTTAGCATAAATCGGTATTGGTTATCTATTATTCATTTAAGTATTAAAGATATGCTTTCACTGTGCATATAGTTTTCCAACAATTGACATCAAGAGCCATTATTGCATCTAATTAGATAATCTAATTTAGTTATACAAATGATAGATTATGTACATGACTTCGTTTTTTATTCATCTATAACGTATCATTAGATTTATATCCTCTATTGGGCTGCTAATTCTATTTGCCACCGAGGGAGGTCTTAGATTTGTGTTTGGTAACTTCAATTTGTTTGAATTGATCCTGTAAACACAATGACCTTGAATAGTTTATTATTTTTCTTGTGGGGAATAATTAAAGGTCATCTTTTTTTTTCTTTTGGTTAATTGAATTATTTTGATCTTGAAGGAATTAATTAAAAGGTGCCCCTTTTTTTGAGTTTTTTTTTATTTTAAAAATCGACAGAACCTTAAGGTTCTGCAAAATTGTTAATTCCTTGATCTATTTCATTTAATTTCAAGAGGAAGTTTAGTGGGCCACTTGGCTTACTCGCATAAAGAAAAGGAGATTAATTATAAAGCATGTAAATGTTTTCAAGTGGGTTGGTGATTGACTGTGATTTGTGACAATTGAATGAGAATTTATTTGCCTAGTTATTACAGGCTGATTAGTCCACTGACTAATTATCTTAGGCTATAAAATTGACTTTATTATCATTTATTTTAAGAGCAACAAATCTAATGCAATAATTGTTTCTTTATGGTTTAATTATAGAGTTAATACCTCAAATGATCACTCAACTATGCACTCTTCTCTCAGAAAGTCACTCAACTTTCAATTTTCACTCAAAAGTCACTCAACTATGCACTTCTTTCTCAGAAAGTCACTCAATTTTGAATTTTAATTCAAAAGTCACTCAACTATCCACTCTTTCCTCAG